CTCCATGCAATACGTGCCCTCTCTAATACCCACCACCTGGTTCCCCCAACCTCCCACCCTCCCACCTCTTCAAACCCTTCAGATTGTTTTTCAGAGTCCATAGTCTCTCATTGTTCACCTCCCCTTCCAATTTCCCCCAACTCCCTTCTCCTCTCCATCTCCCCATGTCCTCCATGCTATTTGTTATGCTCCACAAATAAGTGAAACCATATGATCATTGACTCTCTCTGCTTGACTTATTTCACTCAGCATAATCTCTTCCAGTCCCGTCCATGTTGCTACAAAAGTTGGGTATTCATCCTTTCTGATGGAGGCATCATACTCCATAGTGTATATGGACCACATCTTCCTTATCCATTTGTCCACTGAAGGGCATCTTGGTTCTTTCCACAGTTTGGCGACCATGGCCATTGCTGCTATAAACACTGGGGTACAGATGGCCCTTCTTTTTCACTACATCTGTATCTTTGGGGTAAATACCCAGTAGTGCAATGGCAGGGTCATAGGGAAGTTCTATTTTTAATTTCTCGAGGAATCTCCACACTGTTCTCCAAAGTGGCTGCACCAACTTGCATTCCCACCAACAGCGTAAGAGGGTTCCCCTTTCTCCAACACATGTTGTTTCCTGTCTTGCTAATTTTGGCCATTCTAACTGGTGTAAGGTGGTATCTCAATGTGGTTTTAATTTGAATCTCCCTGATGGCTAGTGATGATGAACATTTTTTCATGTGTCTGATAGCCATTTGTATGTCTTCATTGGAGAAGTGTCTGCTCATATCTTCTGCCCATTTTTTGATATGATTATCTGTTTTGTGTGTGTTGAGTTTGAGGAGTTCTTTATAGATCCGGGATATCAATCTTTTGCCTGTACTGTCATTTGCAAATATCTTCTCCCATTCCATGGGTTGCCTCTTTGTTTTCTTGACTGTTTCCTTTGCTGTGCAGAGATTTTTTTTTTTAATTTATTTTCAGCATAACAGTATTCATTGTTTTTGCACCACACCCAGTGCTCTATGCAATCCGTGCCCTCTCTAATACCCACCACCTGGTTTCCCCAACCTCCCACCTCCCGCCCCTTCAAACCCCTCAGATTGTTTTTCAGAGTCCATAGTCTCTCATGGTTCACCTCCCCTTCCAATTTCCCCCAACTCCCTTCTCCTCTCTAACTCCCCTTGTCCTCCATGCTATTTGTTATGCTCCACAAATAAGTGAAACCATGTGATGATTGACTCTCTCTGCAAAGGTTCTTTTTTTAATACATTGTTCCTGGTGTGCGAAAGAGGATCAAGATTTACATATCATTGTCTCTATCTATCTGTCATCTCTCTGTCTATATACCCACCTGTATACATCTTTGGGGGGAAAGAAGAGAGCTGCGCTCCTGTTAGTACGAAAGATAAAAGGGAAATCATTTGCAACATTGTGTACCAACCCCTAATGGAAGTTATTTGGGCAATGGGTCAAAGCATATGGTGAGAAGGCCATGTAGGATTTAATATTTTCCTTTAACACCCTTCCCTTCCGATTGCCTCTCTGAAGGGTGCATTGCTTTGGTCATCGGAGAATTAACTGCCGTTGACATTTTGGTTGTCCGCTGAAAGTTACTCCATTAAAGTGTTTCCTAGTTGAACAGATAGATGTACACAAATGAGAATAGGAGAGGATATTCAAATAGGTGGTATGGTTTTTAAAGCCCTTTTTAATATCTTACAGAAAATATGCATAAACAGAATAAAAAATGATGGGAGTCTCTGGACCCATATAGTTGCAGTTAGCATTCCTCCTAGGTGATCAGATTACTGATGCTTAACATTTTCCCCACTTTATAATTTTAAACAACAGTTTAGATAAGTCCATGTGTATTTTCAAAATAAGGAACCGAAAGGAGCTAAAAATAACATCTGCACCGGAAGCAGAAACATTTGCATGCGTGTGTAGAGCAGAAAGCATGGATTACATGCATCAACATCAGGCATCTTGGGCCTCTAACGTCATTACTCTCAGTGCCTGTGCGTGTGTGTGTGTGTGTGTGTGTGTGTGTGTGTTGTGTGTGCGTGTGTCTTGGGGACGGGTAGCTATCTGGTTGGAGATGAGGTGACTCAGGCACTCCTGTATGAGGGGCTGGTGGGTCCTGCTGCAGGGAGACTGCAGTAGGCTGAGTCACCTATTTTTCCTTCTCCCCTTTGTTCTGTGTCCTCACATGACACCTGTGTTCTGAGAGCCGGCACACTGAGTTCTCTAAAGCAGAGGACACAATACCCGCGTGATCATACACTCTGGCAAGAAAAGGTTTGTGCGGGCTATCCCCAAAGTAGGTATAGTCAGTCGCCATACATTTCTTGTTATACCTATGAGTATGTGTGAACAAAGTTGTGCATTCATGCATTTATTAGGGAAATAATATTTTGTACTATGAAACATATCATTTGAAACTGATAATGGATGAGCTCAAATCTGTGGGTTATAATACCCATTTGAACAGTGTATATACAGAGAAGTAGAACCCATTAACAGGGTATTTCTTGGGGGGGCGGGGAGAGGGATTGAGAGAACAACTGCATCTTCGGCCTTACACACATCTAAATGTTTGAAATGTGTTTAAATAAAGTTTTTAAAATGTCAGAGAAACCACATTGTAAAGAGAGTCACAAAAACCATGCAAAAAATCAGCATTCACATGAAACAGTGATCAAATGTGCGCTTGAGGGAAGAAAGGTAGTCCTAGGCAATATGTGCAGGCATGTGTATATGGACGCATAGGAAACGTGTGACAGGCCCATATGCCATCATACTGACAGTAAGCATCTATAATGTATGGCCTCCCGTATATATCTCTCCACCCATTTTGTGTTCTCTACAAACCCATTTAATGTTACTTGAGAAACACCAAGACACGCTTACATTATAGACCCCATTTTTGTTACACACACACACCACACACACCACACACACACACACACACACATACACACACACATACACACACACCGGCTGCTCCTATTAAATCAGTGCTTCCAAGGCAGACAAAAAGACTATCATGAAAGCAGTAGTTCCCACAGTTCTGAAATAGGAGGACTGGCCTAAACTAAGTAGCTTAACGTCAAAATATTTTGGAAACGCAAAAGAAGGAAGCAAATAGACGTGTCCACATTATAAATGAGATTTAGCTGATTTTTTCTTTTCTGTTTCAGAATGGCCTGCATTCCAGAGTTGGGGAAGGGAAAGTGATGAACCCATCCCCATTTTGTTGGCTTAATTTCCCATCTGCTTTTCTGATTTTCCAGATTAACATTAGAGGTTCATGGTAGGTCCTGGGCATCTACAGTTGATGTCATTTGATCCCTGGAAGGACAGTGCACTTCAGAAGCACAGAACGGAGTCAAGGGTCTGCCGGACAAGCAGTTGGAGTGTGTGAATCAACAGATGCAGCTCACAGAACCTCACCTCCCCCGATCCACGTGGTGTTCTGTAAGACATTCTTCTTTTACTAAACACTTCATTTGCAATCATTTCATGTTGACATTTGGAGTGTGGTTTATTTGGCTCCTCGCCCTACAGTCACTTTCTTACCCAAAATTGTGCCGGGGGCAGGGGGAACAGCCTTTTCAACCACCACAGAGAAATGAAAATGCGCACGGTGCAGCCAGTGGCCCATGCCTGCAGCAATCCTGACGAAGGACGGTACCAGTAACCCCCAGGATGACCTTCGTGAGCTTCTGGATTCTAAGCTCAGGCTCCTGAACACGATATTGTGCTGACATTCAGTGTCTGTAGGCTGGAGATCACCTCCAGCTTCCTTGGGTGCACCGGGTGGCATTAGCACCCACCAGGAAAGGAAAACCAAAGCATTCCCCCAGGATGAGCCCCAGGGAGCACAAAAGGCGCAGGATGTCCAGTAACACAGTTGAGATCTGGAAAGTGACACCCACCTCCCCATACAGACGCTCTTTAATACGCAGTAGTAACAAGCAGGGCAAGAAGTTGGGTTTGGACGGTTATAAGACGCTTCTGGTATCTTCTGTATTTTTCCGCCCGATAGCTGCCATGGGTTTACCCGCTGTCGGAGACACACTCTTTCTATTTCTTTGTGTGCGCTCTTGTCAGTTCTCATTGACCATTGTTCTTCTACTTTCACAGAAGGAATTTGTTTCCTAATACTTTTCTTCTTTTCCTTTCCCACATTCCAGTATTCTCCAGCATAGTCCCTTCAAAACACAAGTTCCCGCGACCTGGGAGATTCAGGTGAAGAAGCACGGGCCACACAAGCTGGGAACTCTTTGCGGTCCTAAGGCCGAAAGGGTGTGGTGAAGAGCATTGTTTTAGGGAAGACCTGCCGTGCCTGTGGGTGTGATGGCCAGACCTCTCGACCTCTGTTAATTACCTCTTGAGAGGAATCTCAAATCATAATGGATGCTGAGTATGTCCTATGCAATTGGAAAGGCCACGTTTGGCCAGCAAAGGTTTTGTCCAGAGCTAGGACCTCACCAAGACATAAGAGGAAAGGGGCACTTTTTCTCGAAGTTGAAATACTCTCGGTAGACGAAAAAATTAAAGTGAAAACCACAGACACAAAGATCCTAAATGAGTCTCAAACTGAATACGTTGCCTCCTTGCTGATAGCCGAGTCGAAGGCCAGTGTCCCACCAGGACAGGAAGTGCCCTACAGAAACGCTCTTGCAGTGGCCCTACAGATTCTGAATGAGAGAGCGAATTTGGGTCCAGCAAGAGCATCAGATGATCCAGAGACCACAAAGGGGACCACAAAGGCGTCCCAAAGGGGGCCACAAAAGCGATCTCGTAAAAAGTTCCGGAAGCCCAAAGGCAGCTTACTGAGGCGTCTTAGGAGAAGCAAAAAACTCAAATCGTTGCTGGTATGCTCACAGACTGAGGACGCCCCAGGCGGTGGCCAACCACAGGCACACAGAACCGTCATGCCTATTCCCAGGAAAACGCGAGCGGAGCCCTCACAAAGCTCCAGCACGTACCCAAACTTCCCATCACGTGCAGAAGATGATTATGAGAAAGAGGGCAAGGAAAAGAGGCACACCTTGAGAGTCAGGGCCCTGCATCGCCCTGTCAAGGAGGAGGGTACAGGTGCTAAAGATGGAGGCACCCTTCCATCTCCGCCACCAGGTTTCAACCTCGCTGTACCCAAGGCTCTGAAAGAAGAGGCCCATGACACCTACCTAAAGACCCTGGCCGTCTCCTCCGAATGCTCTGCCCTCTCCGGGAATGTTGAGGACCACAGAGAGGGTCCCCAGAAGCCAGGCTTGGAAGGTGCGGCGGCATCCTCCGGTGCCCCTCCCCCGAGGCTGCGTTATTCACTCCGTCTCGCAAATAAAAAAAGGAAGCTGCAGGTACTAGAGTTTGAGAAAGGGCTGCAAGAACTTCAGCCTTCAGTCAGCTCGAAGGCCGTTAACCCCACCACTGCTGTTAGAAAGGATGTCGGCAAGGAAATGGGGCAACCGATAAGCATGGCTTTTCCACAAGAGCCTTGTCCCATTGAAGGAGGAATGATGGTCTGGTTTAAATTTCAGAATCACCCATTTTGGCCAGCAGTGGTAAAGAGTGTCAGCCAAACAGAGCAGACTGCAAGGGTGCTTTTGATTGAGGCAAACATGCCCTGTGACACGAGTGGCATTCAAGTTCCTCTTCGAAGATTAAAACATCTGGACTGTAAGGAGAAGGAAAAACTAATGAAGAGAGCCGGGAAAGTGTACGAGCAAAGTGTGAACTGGTGTTTCTCCCTGATTTCCCACTACAGAGAAGGGCTCGGTCGTGGGTCTTTTGCAGGCTCTTTCCTGGACTATTATGCTGCTGATATCAGTTACCCAATTAGGAAAGCCATCAAGGACGGGGACGTGGAGATCGCCTTCCCAAAGGTTAATTATGCCGACCTGGAAGATTCTGAGGAGGAGGCCTCCCTGGGTGGGAGGAGTCCCTGCAAGAAAATTCTCCCGGACCGGATGAGGGCTGCTCGGGACCGAGCCAACCAGAAGCTCGTGGACTTCATTGTGAAAAGAAAGGGAGCCGATCACCACCTCCTGGACATCGTCAAAGGCAGGAAACAGTCCAGGTGGCTGGCATCATTTCTGAATTCAAGCAGGTACGTGATCTGCATTGAAACATACCTGGAGGATGAAGACCAGTTGGATGTCGTGGTAAGACATTTACAAGAAATCTACAAACAGATAGACAAGAAAATGCTGACTCTGGCAAGAGATGACAAGGTGAGTTTTGTTCTGGAAGTTCTTCTGCCAGAAGCAATCATTTGTTCAATTGCTGCACTTGATGGATTAGGTTACGAGGAGGCAGAACAAAAGTACCTAAAGGGGCCACCGGTGCATTACCGGGAAAAAGAGCTATTTGATAAAAATATTCTAAAGGGAATGAGAAAGAGAGCAGCAACAAGGGGCAAAGCTAAATAACTCTTCTTGTGCCCACACTTTAGCAGGGAGACCTCTCACTGCCCCGTCTGTAAGAAATGTGTGATCCTTCCAGTCTGTACGGCATGTAAATTACATTCTGTAAATTTGCGGCCCTGGGAACATACTGCACTCCTTTTGGATCCATCTCTAGCACCTGTGGGTAGCACGGCCGTCATCATGTCTGGTTCCCAAATGCTTCACAAACTAATTTGTTAATTAGTTTGTTAACCTGTTAATTTGTTTGTTAGTTTGTAAGCTTAACTCATTTGTTAAGTGCTGCAAACAGTTGGACTTCCCGCTACTTGCTTGGACGTGTAATTATCCAGATGTTTTCATAACGTTGCTTTTGACAGTACTTCATATTTTAATATAGGAGGCACATTCTTTTACTACGTGAAAGACCCCTTGTGTCAGACATCGAGCCACGATCGTTTTTAAAATCTCAGATAGGTGTTTACAGAAACATCACATGGATTTCTCATTCTTTCTGCAAGGCCTCAGTATAAATGATCTGATCGCCTTCTCAAGGTAATTCCTAAATTTGATCTGCCATGCTCATCTGTTTGGAAAAATAGCCCTGAGGGGCGGAAGCCAACAGCAGAGCTGTTTCGTTTTCTATATATTGCCACTACCTTCAAATGGTTCTTGGAAAAGCAGTCTGGAATCCAAAGTTAATGGGTCATCTGCCTGCAGTCCACGTGTGGATGAACGAAATCTCAACGTGCAGGAAAGCTTTTGTCAGCGTGTGCAAGATTGCTGACTCGACGCTTCCCTCAGATTCCACTTAGGGAAGTAGCTCTTGTTCGATGGCTAAAGGGTTTCCTAAAACAGGCTCCTGGCTGTCTTCCTAACTGACCGGATGCTTTACACATGGTGGTTTATCCCCATGTGGAAGACAACGAGAGTAATCATACACAAAGCTTAGCTATTTGAGGCCTAGGTAGTCCAGGCTCACTGCTAGGAGCCCATCTAAGTGGCACACATTGTAGGGAAGCATGCGCTTTGCTCTGGACCTGTGTCCCCTAAAACACAGTCATTGTCTCAAACCAAGCAAGCTTTCTCTTCTGACTTATTTGCTGACGAGCCCTCACACGTTCCAGCGGTCATAAAGGCAGCCGGGTAAGTCCCACTAGGCTGCTTGAGCGATATAGATGGACAAGGATCTGGGAACTCCGAAACGGGCAACAGGAAATCCTCCATGGGGCTAAACATGGCTGTTGTCAGAATACAACGAAACATCTCTAACTACAAGATGAATTCTGAAGTCCATGAATTGTTATCCTAACTTGAAACAACATTTTTTGAGGGGGGAGAAAATGTCACAAAAGCTAGTTTACTTTAAAAACTTGGTGTGAAAGAAAACACTAAAGGTTTAACAGGAACCTGAGTGCATTTTTATTCTTAGAGGGAATCAACTGTCCCTCGCAGGCCCATGTTATGTATTCATATGGCCACGTGATCTGTGTGTGTGCGTGTGTGTGTGTGTGTGTGAAATTTGCAAGAGTTCACTGTTTTGATTCACAATAAAACCATTGTATCTCTTACCTTGTTCTTCTGCTCCATTGTACTTTAGATTGTACAACTACATAGTTGGTACCTCTAAATATATATCCGTAATGTATGTCCATAATATATTATATATTACGTAATGTATGTACATACACATGTACATCGCGCACGCACGATTTTGGAATCTCAGTGATTTAGTCCTCATATTTTAAAGTCCGTTATGAATTTTCTTCTCATCCTCAGTAAATACCCACTTTCATGCTTGTTTTTGTAATTTTAGAAGAGGGCCTACCAAACTGTGTAAGCTTCAGGCCCATCAGAACCTTCCTTGGACTCTGCCTGAGAGACACCAACGACTCCTGAGGCATTCTGCCTGGGCTAATCCACATGACATCCTCATGGTCCTGAAAAGTACTTGGAAACTCATCATCTCCATGCTGTACGTGGACCTCGTACACTGGAACAACACACTTTATTTCTCCTATAAACATCGTGTCTCTCTGAATCAAATATATCACTCAACTTCAGCCTTCTCATATAGCCATATCTGGCTCTACATTCTAATATTTCCTTCACTACCTCATTCATCCACCCACCCATCCATCCCTCCATAGCACTGTGAGTCAGTAGAGCAAGTAAGATGTGGTTTAAGGCCCTGATCTGAGGATGAATTTCAGGTGCCATAGAAAGATGACAATCTTGGGACCCAGGTGGCAATCTAATTTCCAAGATGATTGTGATGCTCTGCCTCATGTTCTTAATGAGAAATATTTATCGACATAATGGATTGATGGCCTATATGTGAAACCGGAACTCCTGATTTTCCCATACTTGTGAGATTGCGGGTGTCTGTTTGGGGTGAAGGGAGAGCAGATGGTCCCTCCTGGGGTGTCACTTATGCCTGAAGCATTCACTGAAGAGGGCAGACATGCCTAGGACATGCATCTCTTCTCCTCCACTTGAACCAGCATCACATTTGGGGTGTGCAGCTGGATTTGGGGGGGTTGGTTGTGTAGATGCTGAGATACCTTCCAGCCTGAGCAGTGGTTAAGGTGGCTCTAAGATGGCCGTAAACTGGTTCTCTATCGTGTGTGTGTGTGTGTGTGTGTGTGTGTGTGTGTGTGTCTGATGGGCTAGCCCAACCTATCACCCACCCTAACCTACTGGATTAAGGAGACCTCCACTCCTCCAGTCATAAGGCAGATGGTGGAAGATCCGGCCCTGACCCTAATTGTTGGCTGGCAGAGCCGCATGGAGATGGCATGCACAGGATTTACAGGTCTCCGTACTTACGTATGGATCTGACAAAGAAAAAGTGGAACGCCGAGGCACACTAAGGTGACGAGCATGAGAACACTGAATACCCAGAATCCCCTGAAACCTCACCTGGGCATTAGCAGCCCCTAACTCTTGCTATAGAGAAGCTTCCTTGTTCCTGGAGACCCTGCAAAGACCTCATTTAGGGCAGCCACCTAAACAGATGTTGCTTCTCTTATTCAACACCAATCTCTGCTAACTTCCATTACTGTCGGGCTACTAACAAGGGAAGGTAAGACTAGGTAAGAACACAGCACAAGAGAAAAAATACAGTTTTGTTCGGATGGGAAACGCCTTGCATTCAGAAGGAACTGTAGGACCTGGCCCATGCGTAGTTGCAGGAAGTGAGAGAATACATGTGCCAATGGATTTTGAGAATGTTGGACCCGCAAGACAGGGAACAGAATATAAGTCAGTATCAGGAGAGCTTACTAACGTGGGAGCACAGAGCTGTGACTGGGGGGAGGTGGGGGTTTGATGTCCTTAAAGGGGCCAACCCAGCAGCCTGACGTGCATATTGTACAAGTGTGGGCAACAACAGTCTATAGTAAATGACATGGAAGTGCTGGAACTTCCTAGGCAGAGAAAATTGAGGAATTGGTGAGAAGGTCCAGGGGAGTAGGTTTTTAGACAGGATTCCTAATGTGAGATCAGACGTCCTCCCTCCAGCCACTGTTTCCTTGGAGGGTGGGGAAATCACTCCTCAAATAAGGAAGGTGCTGGTGAAGCGGCCCTGACATCTTTGAAGATCTCAGTGCTGACTCTCCTCTGCAAACCATGGTTGGAAGCAAGCGATGCTGGCGTGGAACTGGCAATCAATGGAGATGACGGGATTCTGAAAAGGCAGGGTCCCAATGGTGGCATAGAACTACCGGGGCAAGGAGGACATCACTTCCATACTGGACAGCAAGGCCAGAACCTGTGGACATACAGATAGTATAGATGGTAGGTAGTAATGTTCTAGGGTCTGGATGTATGGACAGCTGGCTGGGGTACTACTTGATTTTCATAAGGGAAAAAAAAAAAAAACAAGAGCTGGCAAGCAGAAAACTGATGCTAGCAACCTCGGCTGCAGTGGAAAATTGTAGTCCCCCACCAAGTGTCCAGGTCTAAGTCAGCCCATGGGCCCAGAGCCCTTTGATTAAGGTGGAGGTCAGAAAAGCCCAGCCAAACCTTTCCCAAAAACCCGTGTCTGTTTACCAAGGTAAATGTGCACTGTGGTAAGGATACCTGCATTTGAAAAATATCTATATATATTGAATATGAGTTCTCTGCTTATAAAGGGGCTCCTGAAGTCTAGATAATAATGGAGTTATGCTTCATTTTAATCTGACGGGAAATCTATTGGTTCTGTGGATCACCCAGGGTTTTGTTTTGTTCTGTTTTGTTTCCTCCAGGGTCTCAGTATATAGTTGGCAATAATGTACTTGGTAGGTGGCAGAATCTTCGTATTAGCACAAGTCCCATTATTTGGAAAGGCACACGTGGAAGCCTAGGAAGCCGCTATCTCCTTACAATATAAGAAATTAAAGCAGTACTGTTTCTATACTAAGAAAGAAGAGTCAGTTATTAAAATCAGAAATGAAAGTGGGCTACATTACTATTGGTCTTACAGAGATTTAAAAAAAGAACAGATGGCAAGTGAATGCTACGAACAATTGCACACCAAAATTCAGAAAATTTAGACAAAAAGGACCATTTCCTGGAAACAAACAAACAAAATTCACTCATGAGGAAATAGAAATTCTCAATACACCTATAAAAAATTAAAAAAGAGATTGACTCTATTATCAAGAACCTCAGAACAAAGGAAAGCTCAGGACTTGGTGGCGTCACTGGTGAATTCTACCAAGTGCTTAAAGAAGAATCATAAATCCTTTTCAAACTCTTCCCAAAAAACAGAAGAGGGGGAAACTTCTTATCTCATTCTATGAGGCCAACCTTACTGTGATAGCAAAGTGAGACTAAGACAGCACAAGGAAAGTGCAGACCAATACTCCTTACGAATACAAATGCAAAAGCTAAAAGCTATGCTGGCACACCAAACAGTCCATCTGTTAAAATTCTTTTAATCAAGTTCCCTTGATTAAAAGAATTTTAATTGAAAGGATTACACATCATGACAAAGTGGGATTTATCACAGGAATGTAAAGGTGGTTCAACATATGAAAATACGTTGAAATAATACACCACATTAACAAAATGAGGGGAA